TTGGGAGAGCGGAATGGGATGAGCGGCAGAGAAGGCTGAACAAGGGTCAGCAATGATCCCAACAGTAGACTCAACACGGTTTTTGTAGTACGGGGCTGCTGGTGTCTGGCCACTGGGACACCGTTGAGCTAAATCCAGACCTCAAAGGTGGATGTTTTTGATGAAAGTTACACTGGTGCTTTTAAAAAAATTTAAATAAAGCTTTTGTTTTAAAAGTATCATGATTTAAAATGCTTTTCTATTCAGAAAATCCAGAAAAAGGCACAGACTACATTAATGAAATATTTTTAAATGATAGACAACATTTTCTGTCTTGTCACAAACCTGTTCTTTATGACAGGTCACTCTTAAGTTTGCTGTTTATAGAAGGGGAGGTCAAGTTCAGATTTTGACCCTAGGCATTATCTTCCACTCATTGGTAAGTCTCCGAATACTCTCCTTTGAGGACTGCATGTGGGCGCAGCTCAAAGATGTTTGGTTGGGAAGATTGAGGGTAGAGGAGTGGGACAGATGTCTGGAAATCACCCTAAAAACGCTATTTTAAATGCAACTTAAGGTAATAAATTTGCATTTCTTGAGTACAAAGCAATTGAAAGATGCTGTCATTTGTTGCACCTTTAGAATATTATTTGGTGAATCACTGAGCCAAAACACAGGTGTAAAAATTTTCATGCAGTATCAAAAGTTTAAAGGGCCCAAATGATGATTTCAGTTCAATCCTTCATCAACTGAAACCCAGAGAGGGGAAATGACTTGCCGAAGGTTACTTTTTACCTTTTGGTTTAAAAGATTTCATTCACTTCTCAGTTTAGGAGGTATTTTATTCATTTTTAATATGACACAGGGTTGCATTTTGCACTTTTGTAGTCTGATCTTGAAAATAACCAATTATCCAGTTGGCTCAAAAGAAGAAGAATGATGGGGAGAGGGCTGATTTTACTCCCTGCTCGAGTCAGCTCTCCGGGAGCTGATTTCTGTAGTTGTCGTCCCAGACGCCAGATTCTCTTCCCTGATTGTTTGAAATTCCAACAGCAGATAAGCAGAGAAAAGTGTGAAAATGATAAATGCAAATGGCAACCAAGAGGTTGCAACTAAGGGCTGAAAATCGGGAGATTTAGGGAACCGTCTCTGCATGTTGTACGTGGTGAGCGAGTGTCCCCTGGCAGCACGGGTATTTTCTGCCCCAAATCCACAAGGGCAAGGGGGTAGCATCTGCGATTTAAAACTTCATCAGGTGACTGACTTAGACCCCATGGTGTGTCTAGAAACTTCTAGTGAGGGATGCAGTTTTAGGGTATGAATAAAAGTTCAGTTAAATAGAAAAAACCCTGCACCAAGATTCCACGACTCCACTTGGTGCAGCCAGAACTTTTGGGCTTTTATGTGTTTCAGCTTGTTTGTACTCATTTCAGGGTTAATGATGCTCACTTTGTTTAGTTTCCAGAGGTATGGTGAGGATCAAGTTATTTCTTTCATGTCAACTAAGAGGGAAAGTTGCATTGAGATACAGATTGAATGGTTCTTTATAGTTTGAAGTTTTGTTTCATTATAGGAGCATTTGGTTTTTACTTGAGTGAATTGTGATTGTATTAATATTTCTTTGCTTATTGAAAAAATGAGGTATTCTATTTTTCTGTCCAGCAATTTACAGGCATTTTGATGGCAAATAAAACTGGATGATTAATTTTACACCCCAAGAATTCTGCTTTCTGAATCACTGAGGTTTTATTTTAACAAATGTTTTTTCAGTTTAGGGTTCAATATGATGATCATGCTCTCGAGGGTAAAAGGTGTGGAAAAAGGTGGCTGACCTTGAGAAATACACAGTTGCTCTGTGGGAGCTCTTTCAGGGTTGAAATAGAGTAATAAAATCAGAAATCATGGAACAGTTTCTAATTTCAAAGACAGACTGTCTGACCTTGCCTAAATAGTTCAGGTGGAAACCAAGAAGGAACACAGAGAAGGAAATTGAGTTCCCCTCCAGGTGACACACAGCCACCACCACCTCCATTCATACATCTGGGATTACGACCTGGGCCATTCCCTTTAGGGTCCAGCAAGCTCTCACCTAGAGATGTTTTTCTCCTGTATTTTTACTCTTATTTTAAAAAGTTCTGATTAAACTTCTATACGCTGTTACACACACATACATTAAAATCCCTCCCAGTTTCCCATTCATTCTTGGTTCTCTATCTTCCTGAACTAGAGCCTACGATTGAACTTAAGAGAAAATAATTCTTTCAGGGGCTGGCCCCGTGGCTGAGTGGTTAAGTTCGTGCGCTCCGCTTCGGCAGCCCAGGGTTTTGCTGGTTCGGATCCTGGGTGCGGATGTGGCACCGCTTGTCAGGCCACACTGATGTGGCCTCCCACATAGCACAACCAGTAGGACCTACAACTAGAATATACAACTACATACTGGGGGGCCTTGGGGAGAAGGAGAAGAAGGAAAATAAGATTGGCAACAGATGTTACCTCAGGTGCCAACCTTTAAAAAAAATCTTTCTGATATACATTTCTTGGGCTCTTTTTGAACAAGTCTTGTCTTGAAACCATTAGGGGGACTTCCCAGATACCTACACTCACCAGTATTTTGGATTCTTAGCTACATGTTCCACACCCCAGAGGAAGGAAACTTAGATGGATTAAGGGCTTCCATTGTGCCTGGCATTGTCACATTTGTCAGCAATCACCTCCCAACCGCCTCATTGGATGGATGGTTACGCATCCATCCTCCATGTAGTATTTCTTGTGCCCTGGCTGGACCGTCTGTCGGCTGGAAGGCAGCCCTGTAGGGGCTCAGGCGAACTGTTCTCCAGTCGGCCAGAATCTGCAGGATAGGTGTTTGGGGGTGTGGCTTTTTTTAGGTTGTGTAATATTAAACATCAGTAGTTTAACCTGGAATATTTGCTTTTAGAGGTGAAATGGCTTTATTCATTCAATGGCTGAGAAAAGGAGTTGAAAGCGTGAAGCGTGTTGTGACCGCGGACAGGCGTGCTTTGTCTCCCGATGTGGTGAGATGGGATGGAGAGCATTCTAGTGCATTTGTGTTGTGTTGATAGTAAAACCACTGCCTGGGGGTTTTTGTGCTTACCTGATTAAATGAGGGAGGTTCCTAATTTTATAAAAATTGCTGTGTCGGTTTAGAGGGGCTTGGCATGTCTTTCTTTTTTTGGTAAGTGACTCTTCAAAGAAATGTGGTACTCAGGGAAGGTAGGTATTAAACATCCAGGGCCTCTTAATTCAGCAAGATGGTCAAACCTTTTCCAGCCCAATGAGAAATGGCAATTGTGAGCATCTTGAGCAGGCGAGCAAGTGGCCACCGTCCTCTGGATCACTTCCTAGCTGTACCATCATGGGCAAGGAATTGAACCAGCCGGAGTCTCAGTTCCCCAATCTGCAAACTATGGGTTACGACATTTTGAGGCTTAAAGGGATGGTGACTGTAAAAGATCTGGAACAGCTCCCGTGCCCAGAGAAGGCACTGCATGCATGGTGGTGATAGAGGCACCTTCTCCTCTTATGTCTTCAGAGGTTATTGAGTTCTCAGAATCTGAGGTACAGGATTTGGACTCTGGGTCAGTAGAATCAAGTCATCCCAATGTAAATGGATTTTTGTCATTGCGCCTCATTGGCATCTAGAGTCAGGGATGGCCTAACCCTTTGCACAGAGCTGTGGAGGGGCAGCCTCACCTCCTGCCCCCCTCCCCCCCTCCCCTCCCCCAGGGTTGCTCCTCAGCTTCAGAGGCACAGGTCAGCTCCTCTGGGTGACCTGCGTCTACTTCCCGGGCCCTGGCTGCCCCTCTCCCATTGGCCCGGCCTCCTATTGGAAGAAGTGATGGGAGGAGGTGTCAAAGGGTGCCTCATCCTGAAGGTGGAGCCTGTGAGGATGTTTGCTCTTCGTTCCTGCCAGGGCTTGCTTCCTGCCTTCTCTAATAACCAAAGGTCCCTGTCAGGAGGGCAGAAGTCGCAAGCATTTTTGTCATTAGAATACCAGCAGCTATGTGTATCCATCTAAATAATAGAGGCCTTGAGTAAAATGTGGCAAAGATTACAATGACCTCTTGTAACTGACTCAAGGGAGAGCAGGTGGGCCTCGGGGCTGTGCGTCTTCCCCACCTGGGCTTCCACGCAGGGTCTGCTTTTTGCTCTGAAGACCAAAGCTGGTGGTTTGTAATTTTGCCACAGAACTGAGCCTCTGGGAGGGCAGCAATGAAACAAGTGCAGAGAAAATGGTTTGCAGCAGGAGCCTTTCTGTTCTTCAAATCAAACCCCGCCCCCCCCTTGCCTTCCCTTTAAACCATATATATTTTACCAGAAAAAGAGAACAGACTGTGCCCTGTTGTTGCCAGGCAACCAGAAAAAACAAACCCAAGCGCACTTGCTATCGGACCAATTTCTCTAGGAACCTGGCTACTCTTGCTAAGTGGTTTGTGTAGTGTTAACAGATTTGCATAATGGTGAGGCTGGGGGTCTCCATCCTTCAATACCTTTCTCCCCACTCCTTGCCCACACTAATAAAATCCAAGATACATTATTTGAGTCTTGAGGTCAATTGTTGACTTTGAGATATTCTGAGGGAAGATGCTATTACAGATGCAAATGTAGTTTATTGCACAAAGCTAGAGAATATACTGTATTTCTAAGACCTTGAACCCATTTTTAAAAATCACTGGGCACCCCTATTTCAGCAGTAACGCTGGTTCAACAGCCCACAAATGGTGACAAGTCTGTTTTCATTTGACGCTTCTTTAGGAGTATTTTCTAAAGGTTATTTTTAGCCACAGGAGGCATCTGTACACACAACCAAACACATATTAATGACACTGATGAAATCGTTAGATATCCACTTTGTTCCTTTCTCCCCGGCCTCCACCCTTCTCTCTGTGGCTGACTATATGGGTTCTGCATCTCCCAGTCTTGGCTCTCACTGAGTCACAGTGTAACCTGCCCTGTCGTCTCAAGCTGACTCTCCTGTGACCTGCGCTGTCTGTCTTTTGCAGATTTGGACATCTCCCAGACTGAGTTCCCACCCCTCCACGACTCAGCTCCCCATGGCCCTCAGCTGCAGACGTTCATAGAAGCAAAGCTAAGTCTACAGACCGCGACCAGACCAGACAGGGAAACTGGAGACAGAGCCGAAGAAAATATTGTTTACCTCTAATTGTATTGTCGTTATTTTTCCATACAAAACAAAACACTGGCATTTGGGGGAGAATTTTTTTTTTCCTTTCCTGATGTGTGTGCGACTGTCTGTGTCCAAATTGCTTTAAGAGTAATATTTAATATTTCATGCAAGTTCATTTTTGGGGCATGAATCTAATAATTAAATTATTGGAAGCAGCTCTGTTTGTGCAATCGTTAACTTATCACACCTAACTTCTGATTTCTGGAGGGGAAATTAACTTGAATAAGGAGAAATATTTTCAAAGTTATTATGACTCTAGAGTAAAATTCCATATTGCGTTTTCTACTGAATCATCTGGTTTTCGAAATGCCTTTTAAGATGTAAACAAAGCAATTTGGATGGAAAGAGTCATGTTCATGATGGGCAAACGCTCAAAATCACAGCAGCTCATTACAGAGAGTGGCCTCAGTGCCCCAAAAGGCGAGGATGCCAGAAAGGCCTTTTCTTGGCTAGTTTTTACGTGCTAATTTCTCTTTAGGATGTCAAAGGGGTCGCTGATGGTTGTGATCTGTCACAGTCACCATGCAACCAACGTGGCCTGTCTGGGCACCTGTTCTGACCAGGTGGCCACTCTGCTATGGACACAATCTGGACTCTCAGGACCTGGGCCACCTGCTTTGCAGACACACTTTCTTGGTCCTGATGCTGGTCCGCTTTCAAGCCACAGTTCAGCAGCATCTTTCAACAGAGCCCGGAGGCAGAGCCGCACAAGTCAGTCTTGATGTAAACAGTGACACTCCAGTGGCACCCTCGCTTCTCTCACCTAGCCCCTTTCCTGGCAGCCCTGGGAGCACCAGCAACCAGCACTCACTAGAAGGATCTCTCCCCGTTGTTCTTTAAGGACAAAACTGCACGCTCAGTGAAGCTTGCTTCCTGCATGTGCTTTTCCAAGTGCGCTTCCTGCCTCCGGAGTAATATGGGTCTCTGTGTGAGAAAATACACCGGGAAATGTTTTCAGCTTGTTCTTCAGAAATATTTGTACATGTTTGGGTCGATGTCAATAAATACCTTTTACCTCACTATTTTGCTTCCAAGTCTTAATATTGTGTAAGACCATAGGAAAACACACATTTCACATACAAACGCAATCTCCCCTTATTAAAAGTGAAAATAAAGGAGGAGTACTAAGTTCACTGAGAATTACAACACTTACCAGGAGGGAGCTGTGATAAGAAGGAGAAAAACTCACCCAGATTCCATCGTCTGTTTGTTTTTCCTACTTAAAGTTGCCAGTTGAATACCTACTTTGTTTTCACTTAGGCAAGTCAGATCTTAGTTGTAAAAAAGCCTTTTTAGGGGCACTCTTTTTCTGACTCTTGCTGCCTCTGGCCATCTGGGTCACAATCATACTAACTCATTCAGAGACTAATCTTTACAGAATGGATATACCTCATTAAAATTTTAGTCAATCATTTCGCCTTCAAGCTGAACTCCTAAATGATAAGATGCATTTTCCATTCCTGAAGACATCTAGAGATAAAAACTTATCTTCCTTCCCTTCAGTAAAATCTATTCCAGGTTCCTATATCCCTTGAATAAAAAGCATAGAGATATTTCAGTCTAAATCCTTGTTCCAGTAACTATAAATATCTTCCCTTTTTTCCTGACAATGGGTATGGAAATATCCATATGTGAAAATATGTAAAGATGTTCAGAATCCCCATGGAGTTCTTTAAAAATGTGTGTGCTCAGTTGATTTTCAAGCCCTGCAAACTCTATGTCTTCCTATAGCCACCCTAGGGAACTCTTGCATCTTTTGAGATACCTAAACTCATAGGTTCCTCTCTGTAATTTTCTTATTTAATGTTATGACTTTTCAACTGACTATAAGTTTCAAAGCTTTCTCCATCAGTTCTTCCTTTTCACTTTGTCCTCACTAATGAGCTCAAATCTCAATAGAGGTCACTCTGTGGCTCCAACAGAAATTCACTAATCTTAAAGGAAGACCACTCTATCACCCAGCATCAAAAATGTTTCTCCCCAAAGGATCTACTTCTTCCCACAACTGAAGAGCTTAAAGGAAACTGTCATTCCTTTAAAGATTTGTTATGGAAAAAAAAGCAAAGTTTTTGCTCTATCCCTTCCAGGTTGCCTGAACTTGCATGCCATCTCGTTTACAGTCCAAGCAACTCTGTATTTCATTGGGTCTGCATAATTGCTGGAGTAGCACTGCCCTTTCCACCTCGCTCACGATTGGAGCCCTGTTCATTTGGAAGAGAGTAGAAACCCCTGCTGCAGAGGCGGTGGCGGTGTCGGGGTGTGTGTAGAGTTATGCAACGTGAAGAAGATGAGCGTAACGAAATCACGGGATGACAGATAAAGAAGTAAAAAGGAGTATGTATTCCTTCCTGTGACCTAGGACCACCTTTCAATTTAGAATCAACCTGAGGTCATAAAGGTTCAACCATCTCTGTCTTTCTCATCGAGAGGTATCGAGGTTGAGAGGATGGATCCTGGAGCCAGATCTTCCGCTTGCTGTGTGTCCCTGGCATGTTACTCACCTCTCTAGGTCTCAGCTTCCTAATCTATAAAAAGGGGAAGATTACCTTATAGAATTGTCGTGAGAATCAAATGATTAATATATGCAATGTGCTTAGAACAGAGCTTGGGGCATAGTGATCACTCAATATGCTAGCAACAATTATCAGATCATTGAGAAGTATTTTAATAATTGCTCAGCTTGGTCCCAGTCCTTAGGCAGATTGTGCCTGCACAGCCAGAAGCAGGGAACAGGAAAGTCAAATGCCTGGAGATGGCTAGTCATAAGACTGGTTTCATAAGGTTAGCTTTCAACTTATTTGCATCTCTGAACCTCCACTCATTTATTCAATGAACACTTATTGACTGTCTGCTAAAGATCACACAATCTGTTAGCAACAAAATAAAGACGAACAAGCCTGCAAGTTGTTGGAGACAAACACGTGAACAGATATGGAGATCTGCGAGCTCCCAGGAAGAGCCTGTTGGGGGCCAGCAATACGTGGAATGGAGGGAGTTGTCCTAAAGTGAACAGGCCCGAGGCTTGAGGAATCAGTAGAGAGTCTGAAAGTCAGGGAAAGATTCAGGAGTCCACGGAGAGCATCCATCCGTCTTTGCGTCTTCCAGCACTCTTGTGCAGGTTGCGAGGAAACACGGAGCTTCCCCCCACTTCTCTCTCGCAACCCAGTAACTGATCAGTTTCCATGTAAAGCCAGGCAATGGAGGAACAGCCGCCCCACCCCTGTGCCCCTCCCCACCCACCGCCACCATAGAGTGCTGGGTTCTAGTCAAATGGCCAGTTGGATATCTGCCTACTTGATCCCAAGCCTCAGGAAACCAAGAGTAAAGACAACCCTGGGACCACCTGAAGATGCTTATTGGAACAGAGGGGTCCAGAAGGCTGCCTCAGGGTGCTCCTGTGGGGTGAACGGATGACTTCTATGACTTAAGCATAAGTTTTAAGTAGAGGGAAAACTCACTCCGCTCTTCTGCCTTATTTTCTTATCTCTCATCATTAAGGTTGTTTCTGAGCTTTTCTCTTGTCTTTGTTTTGTTCTTGTTCTCTGTTTCCTCATTTTGCTTTGACTCTGTGTCTGGGTTCCTAGGCATTCGGTGAAACAGCCTCCCCTCCCAGTCTTGAAGGAGTGGCCTCACGCAGGAGATGGACCTTATTGTTCAACCCTGCTCTAGCTCTTGGTTGTCTCTCAAGCTCTCCTAATGGTCCAAGCAGCAGCTTTTATTTTTAGTGGCTCCCAGTTGTTGAGGGTGTGCAAAGACCTGTCAGTGTCCCAAAGGGGAGGATCTCAGTCAGCACCTCGATTCAGGCTGATTAGAAGCCAGACCCTCAGGCAGCAGCTTTTAAAGTATTCAAACTATACAGTCCTGTGGGACTGCAAGCGTAAGCCCCACTGGCCACCAGAGCCAGGCAATCTGGAGGTGTCCCCTGGGTGACAGTCACAAAAATCGGGCCTCCAGCCGAGTGTATAAGCTCCTTTCTGGGAGACACCAGCGAGCTGGAGTGAGGCAGAGGGAGAGCGCAAAGATGGTGTCCCCAGCTTCTGTTCCCTGGGAGCACCTCCATAGCCCCTACACGTGTGCCTGACCTGGAGCCTACCCGCAGGCTGAAGCTCCGGGACAAGTGACTGTGAGGTGTTTCATTCTCTCTGTACAATGCCCGGGGGCTGGCTGCCTGCCAAGATCTCTCTCTCCTATCGTCACAGTCCCATGGGACCCAGGAATGCAAGGCCCCCCCGGCCTCCAGAGCCAGCTTATCAAGGGGTGTCCCTGGGCTACAGCTGCAAAACGCCAGCAGGCATCCCTCATCAGGAGAGCATCCCACAGGCCTTGCCCCTTGGGCGAGGCTCTAAGGTGAGCAAATGCCTCTCTTTCCTAGAAAGTCTGGCGCTTTCCACAGGTGGGGTCCTGGGGCAGGCAAGCAGCGAGCCAGATGCCACAGCCCTCTGGGTCGCAGGGACCAAGCCCTGTTGGTTTTCAAAACCAGGTATTTCGGAGGACCATCTCTCAGGTGCAGGTCTTAAAAGTTGGGGTGCCTGATGTGGGATATGAACCCTTCGCTCTCAGGGAGAAACTCCGGGCTTATGAGGTCCCCCCAGTGTGGGCGGTCTCCCATCTCTTCCCCGCCTCCACGTGGCCCTCTCCTTGGTGGTTCCTGTGAAGCAGCTGCTCCAGAGTTGCCCGCAGGCATGGTTCCCCATGCAGCTGGAGTGTGTTCAAGGAAGGAAGTGAGCTCAGGGGCTTCCAATGCCGCCGTCTTTGACGGCCCTGCTTTCTTTTCTTTATCGATTCTGATGCCACCCTCCCTGCCCCCGGCACCCCCCCACCCCCGGCCTCTTAATCTACCACTTGGGGCTTTGAGGAGAATGGAAAAGAACAAAATTTTAAATAAGGAGTAGATGGGACGTGTAGAAGCAAGATTCCAGGATGATCTTGTGGTTACCACCGAGTTCACCATGTTCTTTCCTGGCGGCCTCTCATTCGGGGACCTCCCTCCACCAAGTGTGAGAGAGGCAGTAAGAAGATGTGGAAAAATCCAACAGACTTGGTCTCTTCTTACTGAATCGCCCCGAGCCGCAGGGTTGCACGATGCAGGGGGCACCGCTCACGCTGAGTGGATCTGTGCTCTGTAGAGCACTGTGCTCATGGAGTGCACTGTGAGTGGAAGCCGCTGCAGTTCTGGAATCCCGCAGCCTTGCTTCTGCGCTGTTTTTTTGCTTATCTGTGACATGTGAATCCTAATAATAGCCATGCCCTGCAGAGTTGTTGTGAGAACTAAATGAATTAAGCCCAGCAAATTCCACACAGTAACCACTCTAAAAATGATAGCAGTTGTTCTATGCTGGTGGTAGGGTAGGGAGAAGGGGAGATCGGGCATGCTCAGGAAGTAGAATGGCCAGAGTATCGTTACTTCAGTTTTCCAGCCCGTTTTCCTTTGCCCTGAGAGACGTTCCAGGTCGAAGCCCACCATCATGCCGTGTGCGCTCAGCGTGAGAGCGTGTGCTGCTTACTGAATGAGGGGATGACTGGATGGACAAGAGTCGTTGGAAATCTGAGGTCAGATGGGCGACAGAGCTAGAACCAGAGCCCTGATCCTGTTTCCATCCCATTTCTTTGCCTTTGGCTTATGAATCCGAAGCAATCACTTCAAGTTGATGACTGTGTATTGTTTTGGGTGAGGTAACTTGAAGGCGGACCATGGTTCAGTAGTTTTGTAGAAGCTTCATGGCTTAGAAACATCAACATGCCATTAACTGAATCCTAGTTGCCCGCCTCACAGTAAAACTATTTGAAAGGCGGAAAGTCAGAAGTTTTAGGTACTGCTAGCAGCCAAGAGTCTCACGCAGACAATTGCCTGAAGACAAAGAATGAACTTGGTGAGAAGATAGGGTTATACTTCCTTTCCTAATTTCACCAGATCCTACAGTTTCATGAGAGAACTGGCCCTTATTCCTGCAAGAGCCCCCATCCCCACCTTTCCCAATGACCTCCCTTTAATTTATTGGCCTGGGGTCCCCAAGAGACTCTC